GCTTTCTTATAGAACTCAGGACCACCAGCCCAGGCCCACCCTCTCCACTGATCACTAAATGAGAAGATGTCTTACAGCTGGATCTCATGGAGGCATTTCCTTAGCTGAGGCTCCTTCCTCTCTGATGACTGTAGCTTGCGTCAGGTTGACAGAAAGCCAGTTAGAGCACATGTCAATCCACTTCCAAGTCTCGCATCTCTAGAAAGCACGCTGTGTTCTCCAGAGTTAAACAGACCGTGCGGATCACCTCCATCTAACTAGCCTGCTCCAGGGGATGCTGGATGTGGACTAATTTGATGGTCGCTACAGTCCCTCCCCCAATTCCCCAGGGATAATATGCCTTCTCAGCTGTTCTCAAGTGGGTTGCTTCAACCGTTTTAGTGGAGGTGACCACCGCATAAGCTTCCTGGTGGTTTCCTGATCTGTCTATGAGAGTTTCCATCAACAAAGAGGGTGAGTTGGGGTCTCTGAGGGGTTGGTCTGGGAGACCTGGCTGGGGTGAACATAAGGCCTCCAGGGCCTCTGGGCAGGAGTGGAGGAGGTATCAGAGGAGGAAGGGACAGGGAAGAGGGTGCAGGGTTTAGGGCAGGCCTGGAGGCTGAAGTAATTTGGGGATTTTCTAGAAACAGTAAATGAAAGACCTGAACCCATAAGGGCCCAGGGAGGAAAAGAATGACTGATTCAGAAGGACAGAGAGATGAGTGGACTATACAGTGATCGGCAGAAGCAGGGTGAGTTTGGCCACCACCGGTTGGGCTCTCAAACATGACTGCCATCATACCTAGCTGTTTAGACAGGAAAGCAAAAGCCCAATGTGAGGGCCCAGCGTGTTGGGCTAGAACCCCTGTGACCACTCCTGCCTTTTAGTCTCTAAAGATGTGGTAGGAGCGGTGGATTCCAGGAGAGCCAGGCCAGGGGCTGTTAGGAGGGTGTCCCACAGTGAAGGTAGCTGGGTGAGTGAGGGGGGGTCTCTCTGGATGCCTGGCACAGGCGTTTGGCTGTGATGGCAAAGTTAGGGATAAATTGACAGAGGAGCCCGTCTGGCCAAAAGAATGAGAGGATCTGATCTACCGTGATCAGGGGCTGTAAGTCCCACGGGGCTCAGACTTGGTCAGAGGTGAGGGTCTTGGGCCACCGGCTGAGTTGAATGCCCAAACACACAACAGTAGGAGAGCACAGCTGAGTTGATGTTGGCTGGGCCCTGGCAGGATGGAACCGTGTGGACCTCCCTCGTTCCCTCTGCAGGAGTGTCCCGGCCTCAGGGCAGCTGCCAAGGCTTGAGTCTGGAGTGTAGCCTTGTGTTGCAGCTGAGCCTGAGGAGCAGCCACCTCCTCCCAGGCATTAAAAACCTTAAGAGCCATTTTTACCAATTCCTATATGGGGACCATCCTCAACCTTTTTAGTTCCTTTCTAATCTCTGGCGATGACCGAGAAATGAAATGGGTCCCCAGGACCACTGTTCCTGCTGGGGAGGCTGGGTCAAGCTAGGGTACATTGAATCATGATCTCTTGCAATCATTTTAGGAAAACGTCCAGATCTTTGTCAGCTCGCTGTGTAATCTCACGGAGCTTGTCCACTAGGCGGGTCTGGTCTGTATACTGGCTAGCCACTGTCTGAGCTCCTTGTGTGTGAGAGTGACAACTGGGGTGACATAAAGGTCATGCCCGGGCAGGTGACAGGCTTGGGGAAGACAATGAATTCCTTGACACAGGCAGAAGGATTAGCAGAAAAGAACCCTAACCACTTTTCCATCTGGGAGAGGCCCTGGAGGGAGAAAGGGCTGTGTGGGTTTGAACGATTCCCTTAGCTCCCGCCACTTCTCGGAGGGGCCAGAGGCTGCTGAGACCATGTGTGAGAAGCCATGGGGAGGATTCAGGTGGCCATTTGTGTGGACCAGGGCCAGAGTGCACGTTGTGGCATTGTAGAAGGGGGAGGTAGGAGGAGGGAGAGGGAGAGAAGGAAGTGGGTATGGGGGAGGAGGTTGTCCTGGATGGGGAGGGAGGGCAGGGGTGGGTGAAGGGAAGAAGGTTGGTCACTAGGTGGAGCACATAGCCTTGGAGGAGGGGAAGGGGCAGGCAGGACTAGGGGTGGGGTGGGGGAGTTGGGGGGCAGGGGGGTGGAGGGTGGGGACAGGGGTGCCAATGACTCAGGTGGCTTCATCAGGGTAGAAAGGGCTCCGAGTTCAAGTCACTAAATGAGAGGACATCTAGAAGCACCGCAACTCTAGTCAACAAGACCTGCCCTGTTGAGCACTGGCCTCAGAAGGAGGGTTGCTAGTATGGATTCCAGAGTCCCTAGACCTGCCCTGTTGAGCACTGGCCTCAGAAGGAGGGTTGCTAGTATGGATTCCAGAGTCCCTAGACCTGCCCTGTTGAGCACTGGCCTCAGAAGGAGGGTTGCTAGTATGGAATCCAGAGTCCCTGGACACGAGGGAGCTGACGGGTAATCTCAAGATCACAGCAGAAGTTAGAGTCAAGAGCGCCCATCTGGTGACCATTTAAACGGTTTATCTAGAGTGTACAAAGGAAAACCAGGGGTTTTGGGCGTATAGTGTGATAGTCCCAATTTGGATACATTTTTCAGCAGACACCCCAGGGGTGACTGAAGGTTGGGTTTAGGCCCAGCACTGCCCATTTTCAAGCCTGTGCCAGAGACTGAAGACTAGCATGAGTCATCTCACTTCTCACTGGACAACCTGGGGTTGAGCAGTGGGGGTGGGGTACCCTATGGTAGTCTCCAAACCCAAAAGTCCTTGGAACAGAGACTGTCTCTGTTCCAGAATGGAATGGGCTTGCCCTGGACTGTCCTACATATCTACAATAAGCTTTATCCTCCACCGTACCTAGGAGCAGCCATGCCCTTCCCTTCCCTTTTTCTTTTCATTCAGAAACCGTCTAAGCAATGTTTACTATGTGCCAGAAACCATAACTTCTGCATGGGGGTTAACTTTAATATTTACAGGTACTATAAGAGATAGCACCAATTATTTTCTCCAAACAATCAACACAGACACAGACAAGGGTGAACACACACACACACACACACACACACACACACACACACACACCAAGTTTACAGTGTTAGTTTGGGTTTGACACACTCCTCAAAGGTCCATCTGTTCCAGGTTAGCTTCCCAGTTGGCATTGTTGGGAAGTGGTGGAACCTACAAAATATGGGGTCTAGTTTGGAGGTCTTTCGGTCCCTGGGGACATACTACAGAAAGGGACTATGGGGCCTTCTATCCTTTTCTCTGCATTTCCTGGTCACTTCAGCAGTCCTACCCTGACACCACCAGCCCGCACTTCCACCAGCGGTCTAAGAACAGCAGTCCATCTAACCCCATACTAGAACTATTAAGTCCACCATCCAAGCAACCCCTTTTTTTTTTATTGGCCGATTAGCCTTGGGTATTTCTTAGAGTGACTGGAAGATAATACATACAAAGAATATCACTAGACAAAAAGCATGCAGTTTATGAATGGGAACGAAGGCTGGGCCCAGCTTTTCTGGCTTAGACCCCTGCTCTTGAGTATAATAAACGAGGTAAGAATAGAGCTACAGAAGCAAAATCCGATGGAGAAATATGACCAAGAGGTATCCACACAACAAACAAATAGATGTCTTAGTTAATGTTCTACTGCTGTGGAGAGACACCACGACTACAGCAACTCTTACAAAAGAAAGCATTTAATTGGAGCTCGCTTACAGTTTCAGAGGTTAGTCCATTAGTCCATTATCGTGGCAGGGAGCATGGTGGAGATGCAGGCAGACAGGGCTGGAGAAGCAGCTGAGAGTTCTACATCTGGATTCCCAGGCAGCAGAGAGAGACACTGGGCCTGACTCTGAGCATTTGAAACCTCAAAGCCCATCCCCAGTGACATACCTCCTCCAAAAGGCCACACCTTCTATTTGCCATTTCCCGATGGCAAAGCACTCAAATGTATGAATGAGCCTATGGTGACCATTCTTATCCAAACGATAATACGTTTAAAAGAAAAAAATTACAGTACCCGGCTCAGCTCTGTATTGTTCATTAATGAATCACTTTTTCTTTTGTTTTTGTTTTTTGAGACAGAGTTTCTCTGTGTAGCTTTGGAGGCTGTCCTGGAACTCCAACTGTTGACCAGGCTGGCCTCGAACTCACTGAGATGCCCTGCTCCCGCCTCCCGAGTGCTGGGGTTAAAGATGTGAGTCATCACTGTCCGGCTATGAATCACTTCTTAATCTCAAATCTGGATGTTTCTCTGTTACAAATGCCAGGTCTGATCTAGAACCCAACAAGCAAGCAAACTTCCCTGGGCATCCCGTGTGGCACTCAGCACTGAGGTCTGAAGCAGAGACTCACTCTCCAAGTTCATATCAACCCTCCTGATCATGGGACTAGTGGGGGTGGGGGTGTGTGCCTCTGTGTACAGCTGTCTCTCTGTACCTTTTGTTTTTCCTCCTCATCATCCACCATCCAAAAGATTACACGGAAAATTCCAGAAATGAACAATCCATGGCCAGGTGGTGGTGGCCCATGCCTTTAACCCCAGCACTAGGGAGGCAGGGGCAGATGAATCTTTGTTGAGTTCCAAGCCAGCCTGATCTATAGATTGAGTTCCAGGACAGGCTCTAAAGATACAGAGAAACCCTGTCTGGAGAAACCAAAACAAACAAACAACAACGAAAACCAATCCATGAGTTTTGAGTAACTTATTATAGTATTGTTATAGTTCATCTACCTTCATTGCTAGTTATCACTGTTAAACTTGTTGTGCCTAACCCGTCAATGAAATTTTACCACTGCTCTTCAAAGGGGCTGTTTCAGGTCTCCTATGGGAGTCTTTGAGCATGGTGGCTGTGAAGACAGGGGTAGTGGCCCTTGTGAGGGTCATGATGGTGGAAGACTAGCAACCACAGAACGTTGCATCATCAGGAGCTATTGACGAAGCTCAGATGAAAGGCAGCACAGCTCACAACACTCAAACCGCAGGCTTTGCACATAAATAAGAGAGAGTTTACTTTCATTCTGCATTTATTTGACATTTCATCCAGTTAAACTGAAACGACACATTGGCTCTGACATTGGCAAGACACCTCACTAATACTGATAGCTGCTAGTGAGTCACACACACAACTCTATCTCACGTTAGAGAAACATTGCCTAGTCGCCTTACAACCTTATTGCACTTCATGTGGCTTTGTCTTCAGAAAAAAAGGTGTTTTTAAAAGATCAGCAAAGATTGCCAATTTTCACTCATTTGTTCTTTTTTTTTTAAAATAAATCATGATTAAAACACGCAGTGAGTATTCCTATACAAAGGCATTAAGAGGCCCAAACTTCAAAAACCAAGTTTAAAAGAGCCCAGCTCCATTACCTCCTACGCATTCCTCACGACACCTGGGCTGACACTTTGGTGAGTCTGTCAATCTCCCAACTGGCTACTGAGTTTTCACACTCTCAGAGCTAAACATGCAGAGACAAGGGTTCCGGCCAAGAGCTGGGTGGGCGGACCTCAAGGCCTTTGGCTCCTCATGGCAATGTCTTTAGGCACCCGTGGAGCCCTGCCTTGGACTGCAGGCTCTCACCACCATTTACACAGAAGCACTGATGGCAACAAGGCTCGTTCAAGGCCAGAATGTTACAGGAAGCCACTGTATTTCAAGTGACTTGGCATTCAACTCTACAGAAGATGCCAGCAGCATGGGGGAGGGCTGAGAGCTTCAGATCCACACAGCCTTTTAGAGAAAACGGAAACAGACACAAGGTCCACCAGCCTTCCTTTATGAGGAAATGCAATCTGGACACATTATCAGGAAAAAGGATCTAGAGAAACTAGACAGTTTCTACTTTTGTTTTTTCACTTACAAATCTCTGAATTATTGGATTTACACTCAGTGTAACAAGTGGCTTGTCTATGACATGGAGCATCTACAGATTTCCAACACAACCTCAGCCACACTGAACATATAACATGTAAAGTCACTGTAGAGATGCAGACATGCCATGTTATTCCATGGTCTTAAAACAGGGTAGAATGCAACACAAGAGTCACTGTTGCTGACTTGTTCATGTATTGTGTCTTTATATGTTTCTGGGGAAAAAAGGCAACTAGGGACTGGGAATTGTTTTCACGGTTCTAAAAAATCCTAACAAACCAGCCTCACCCAGCCACACTGCACCACACTGAATATTCTCCTAAGCCTGGCATTTGTGCATTTCGGCTAATTGTCTGGTGGAAATTCATGATTATAAAGTACCTTTGAGGTCAGATTAATGACTTTATAAGAACACTAGACAAATTAAAAAGTTAATCAAGAGAATGCAGTATCACAGACACATGCTAGCTGTAGGGTGGCTTCACGCCCTACCCTGTAGCTGACTTTGGGAAGGTGTACGGAGTGTGCACCTTCTGAACCTCAAGATTTGTCGCCATCCTTTGGACTGGTCCGTTGCCAAACTGGAAACAAAGCTTCCTTAGTATTTACACTTGCATATTTAGTCTCAGACCTTTCCTGTTTTCCTAATTCATGGCCCAGACCTCTGTGGGACAGAGGTAGAAATGAAATTGGTATTTGAACAGGTAACCTTTCCAATGACTGACAACCAACGCTTATTGAGCGGGTGACTGGAGCAAATGCGCTATGCCTACCAGTGCTGTTGAAAGCTCCAGTGAGGGCTTTGAGAAAAGAGTGTCATTAAAGTCTACCAGAAGGGTATGTTTGTAAATTACAACACTATCCAAATGTCAGGCCCCTGACTGGCACTGGGTGCTATGCCAAGGGGCAGTTTGACTCTAACGCAGATCTTTAGAGGCTTTTGTAACTGGCAGTGCCCCGTCACGATGGATTTCCTCGCTGCTGTGGCTTCGGGAGGTTCACGGGCAGGAGGAGCCTTCAGGGCCCAGGAGGAGCCTTCAGGGCCTGACCTCGGCTTCACAGGCCCTTGTTAAAGTACACGCGCCGTAATTCGGGATGACTCCTTTGGATGCTGTCTCGCAACTCATCCTCCAGGCTTGTTACAGACATGGAACTGGGACAAGGCAGAGGGAACGAGGTTATCACACGGGCAAGGAGGGGGACCAGGAAGAGCAGGGAGAGGACACGGGCTCAGAGACCCAGGGCTGGTGCATGAACACACCGGGAAGTCCGCACAGGGCCACAAACGAACACTCAGTGCCCTCTGGAAAAACAATCGTCACAACAAAGACCTGGGAGAACCAAACTGCTAAGCCTGCTTACCTCTGTTGTTTCAAGCTGTAAGAGCACATGACAATGACACGCACAGACCCCCGTGACTGCAGCGCTGGGACTACGAGCAGCTACCCAAGCTAAGGGCAGAGCTGTGGTCAGGGAACCCATTCTAGGAGACGAGCACTACAGATGTGCTTGTCTGTGCCCCCAGAGAAATGAATCATGTTAAGGGTTACAGAAGCAAAGGGTGGACCAGGCAACCCGACTCCCACGAAGGCTAAAACAGTCTCAAATGTAACAGTAGGGGGCAGAAGAGAACTGGGTAGAGCCGAATGCTGCCCAGTCAGTCTCTTCTTCCTTTTAGAGGCTTCCCTGGCCCTTTACAGACCTGACTTCTTACTGCTGAAATCAAATGTCTGCACTGTGTCTCCTGCTCATTTTTAGGATCAAAGTTCACAATGATTCTGGAAAAAAAGATACACCACTTACCTCTTCTGAGGAAACAGGGCACAGCACAGGGGGGTGGCGAACACCAAACTTAAAAAACAAACAGAGCGGCAGGTCAGTAGGCTAAAGCAGTCACTGCTTGGCTTCCTGCTCTGTGTATTTTAATGGCAACCTCTTACTACCTTGCAAGTATGTACTGTTTAATCTCCAAAATGATAAACAAAAGCCCCAGGGACAAAGGGGTAACTGCAATTTACATGAGCACACCCAAAAAGCCCTGAATGTGGAGGCTCCCGTGTAGACAGTTTCCATCTTTTTAATTACTGGGGCCACAAATTCCAGGCATTCTGGGTTGGTGTCATTTTCAAAACTTTTCGCTTGTATCACCCAACCTTCCACAGGCATCAAAAAGGGCTTACAGGATTTCTGTGTTGACTACTGTGATAACCTATGATAACACCCATTGAATAAATACGTGCACAACAGAAATGAGAGCAGCTATTTTTTTAAAGGTTCATTTCCACTTACCAAAAGCCAACCAGGGTGACTTGAATCGGTGCACTCATCCATGGGAACCTCTGGATTGAGGAAAGAACAAGTGTGAATACTTCTCATGTAGCTCCTCAAGACAGTCTTTCTTCCCAACTAAACAACACCCCCATGGTATAAGGCCCAATGCAACGGGGTTAGAGAGACCCTGGGCAATGAATGAGCAAGCAGTAGCCACCGCTCCTCCAAGGGTTATTCGCCTGTGTACACGAGGTAGGGGACTAGCTAGCGAGCATTTAATTATGGTTTATCTGCTGTTAGGGAGGCAGAAGACACACAAGCTGGAAGACACATGACCTTGCACTAAATCTCTGTCTCACCAGCACTGAAAACCTGTGTGGGAAAAGCAGGCAGAGCCCGGGCTTTGTTAGGATGCAAAATGAGCAGCCCCTCTAAGGGTGGGGATGAAGACAAGCCAGGAATCCAGGACAGTGACCGAGTGGGAGGAGCCTAGCAGACACCAGCCTCCACCTGCTCGCACATGCTCTGTCATGGAGTCAGTTGCTGTCAGTAGGTTAATACTGTTTGCAGAATAAAAGATCTTTGCTAGTCATGAACGAGTAGGTTGGTCTTTGAGAAAATAAACATTGTTAGATATTTAGTTTTTAAAAAAGGAAAATACACAACATAAGACACAGGGTTATCTCAGTAAGACCGCAGAAATTTCTGCAACTGCGTTGTGAGCTGGTTGGGATGTAATCAGCCACTCAGTTCTGAGTCACACAAGCTGTCACAAGATAACGTGCAGAGAAGGCATACCCTGGTGCCTAAGGAGACTTCTTTGCTGAAAGGGACCATCGGGAGGTTCAACATGGAGGGAGGAAAAGAGGGAATGAAGAGGAAGGGGAAAACGTCACCAGAATGAAACCAACCCACAGAGGCTATGCTGCGGCAGTGGCTTAACCTAAAAGACTGAAAGAGGAAGCTAATGTCATGTGCCACTTGATGACAGGATATGCTCTGAAAATGCATCCTTGGGCCAGGCTGGCTGAGTACCCACTAGTGTACATTCTAAATCCAGCTCACTGGGCTCTATGGTTTCAATATGCAGACTCCTCCACCTCTACACAAATAACTGGCTGGGCTGTTTAATGAGGAATTCTCACAGGGAGACTGTCGGTGGCCATGTCAGAGAGTCAGCAACGGAGCTTGTGGACTACAGCCCGGTGGACAGCAAAGTGACCCTGGGGAGGCCCTGGGAGGCAAAACTGTCTCCAGGATGCTCCCTGCGTCTGCTTTGCTTCCCCCTGCTGGATGCTGCCGTGTCCGGCTGTGTTTGCCATGGTGTGAACACTGTATGAAAGGACCCCACTGTATCCAGGATAGTGTGGTCGTTGTTTGGGAAAATCCCACTCCTCGCTGGCAGAGTACTTTCAGATCGTAATGAAGATGATTTTAATAAGAGCAATGACGATTAGTTAGATCTATGGACTTTCTGAGTTAGCCTAATAGATACAGATGGTTAGGACAGTTAGTAAAGATGATTAGGGACATGGTTTGTGGAAGACTGGGGCTCAGCCAGGACTGAAAACTGCTTATCTCAGGCATCCAGCAAGGGGCTCAAGAGTACATACGGTCTGTGAATAAGTGGAGAATTTCACATTTAGGTCCATTAACAAACAACCCTGAATAGCTACCAAGTGCACACTGCAGTCTGTTATTAGAGAAACAGGACAGATTCAGAATTAAAATAGTCCCAAGACTAACTAAGGACCTTAATTTATCAGTTTTATTCCCAATGAAAGTGCAGGCAGCTTGAAGAGTATGAGGCCTAATTTTCAAGACAACTGTTCAAGGACACACTGTATTTTAGGCAGTGAACTTTCAGTTAGCTGCAGGGGTTTTCATGAGTCACCTGCCCATAGCTGGTGTGTTTTCCCAACCCTCCACTTGGAAAAAGATAAGATGCGGGGGAGGATGAGTCATGCTGAATGTTCTCCAAGTGCCATTGTTTAAAAGCTGGGAATGTTCGATAGGTTCCATGTTTGTGGAGGAGTTTGGTTATCACTGAAAAAAATCTGCATTTCCAAAAATGATGAGAAAACACTTCAGGTTCCAAATAAGAACATTGGTGTATTCTTCCCCAGTATAATGTTTGAATAATGGTCATACTATCGTAGTAATATATTATTTATGATTTATTAAAGCTTGACTGAGGATTTAGAAAGCAAAGTCAGTCATAAGCCATGGAAGCCAGGCATACACCCTTAATCCCAGCAGCCAGAAGCTAGGAGGTGGTGGCACACATCTTTAATCCTATGACTCAGAATTAAGAGGTCAATGGATCTCTGTGAGTCCAAGGCCACCCAGATGCACACAGGAGTGAATCAGTCTAAAAGAATTACAGCTCACACCTTTAATCCCAATGTTAGGGAAGTGTGTAAGACAGAAGCATGGTCTCAGTATGAGGCACTCCTTCTCCAGTCACACTGAGGAGAAGCAGCAGTTTGAGACTTGGTCAAGAGCTCCTGCGTGGATCAGCCCTTTCCACCCCAGCTACAGGTGAGAGCTAGTGGCCGGCTGTTTTGCTTTACTGACCTTCAGCTTGACGCTTGATTCCAATATCAGTCTCTGGGTCACTTGTCTTTTGTGTTACACACTATCAAACAAGCCCCAAGTGCAAAGATAACATATAAGTGGAACTCAACCCTTGAACTTGGGAGTGTGAGTACAAATGGGTCCTTCAAGAGCACTGAAACCTTGACTGTTCCAAAGCAACATGTTCCTCGAAACGGGAAGGGATGCAGCAGTTACAACCAGACTCCTGGCAGCTAGGGAGACTCTGGGAATGAGCCTGGACTATTGTGGCCATGCCTCCCCACCTCGCCACCAGGATGCTAAAGCCAGGACCCCTTTGGGGTTGTGATGGAGGGCTTCTGAGTGAAGAGAAAGTAAGAAGGCATTCTTCCAAATTGGAAACGAGCCATGCTGCAAACTCTCTAAGTTAAGATGGGTAGAAAGCAGTGAGGAGTCAGTGGGTGAAGATGCCTGCTGTGTAATCCTGGCAACCTGAGTTCAACCCCAGGTAGAGACAGAAAGATGGAAAGAGAAGCAACCCCACAAAGTTGTCCTCTGACCTCCACGTGTGTGCTGTGGCATGTGTTCCCGCCCCCACATATACACACACGACAATAATAGGTTTTCAAATTAAAAAGCGATGGGATGGAGTAAGCCCGTGACATGCCTGTCTTTTTAAGTATGTAGAAGTCTAGGACAGTGTGGCTACAGTGGCCACAATGCTTGTTTCATCCAGTCTCTTTCATGTAAGAAAATGCCAGGATGTACACACAGGAATTTCCATCTATCACAGCTGGAAAAATGTGCAATATGACTAACTCGGCCCTCGGTCCAGTATCCGCCATGGTGAGATGAAAGTTACCATAGTAACCATTCCAACACGGAGACCCCAGGAGTTCAAAGGCAGGAGAAATAGAACACTAAGGAACTGACTTGATGGTCTCAGGTCCCCCCATGGCCACTTGTCTTCCATCAGTGAGATGCAAACTTTCTTGTATGGCTGATGCAATCCCAAGCCATGATCAAGATGCATACCGGCAGCCCTGTGTGCCCTGAGTGATGTCTTTCCTAAAACGACGACATCCTCAACCCCTGCGCCACCATCAAGCTGCACTGTTTGTTTGTAGAGTCGTCCACTCAGTATGTTTGGACTGGGGGTGATCCTACATAACTGAAGCACCAGGGGTTTACAGTGGCAGCAGGGTTACTGCTAACTGGGCGTGGGGTGATACCAGGAAAGCTTGCATGGAGTGATGCTGCTACTGAAGGGGGACTGCAAACTGTTTCCATAGCAACCTATAAAACCTTGAGGACCACGATCTGTGGGGCAAAGGACCAACATTTACTACTCATTCTTTTCCCTTGCAAAAGCGGTTACTTTTATGCCAGAAAATGAACACAGAAGATAACAATATTCAACACTAGAAATCTAGCCTCACTTAAAAAAAAGGACGTATTTTATTATTTTTAGTTATGTGTGTGAGTGCTTGTGTGTGTCTGTGTATGGGTGTATGTACTTGTGTGTGTGTGTGTGGGTGTGTTTACTTGTGTGTGTGTGTGGGGGGTGTGTACTTGTGTGTGTCTGTGTGTATGTATTTGTGTATGTGTCTGTGTATGGGTGTGTGTACTTGTGTATGTGTGTGAGTGCTCGTGTGTGTCTGTGTGTACTTGTGTGTGCATCTGTGTCTGTGCGTCTGTGTCTGTGTGTGTACTTGTGTGTGTATGTGTGTGAGTGCGCGTGTGTGTCTGTGTGTACTTGTGTGTGCATCTGTGTCTGTGCGTCTGTGTCTGTGTGTGTACTTGTGTGTGTATGTGTGTGAGTGCGCGTGTGTGTCTGTGTGTGGGTGTGTACTTGTGTGTCTGTGTGTACTTGTGTGTGTATGTGTGTGAGTGCTCGTGTGTGTGTGTCTGTGTATGGGTGTATGTACCTGAGTACAGATGCCCCATGATGTCGGAAGAGGGCACTGCATCTCCGGAGGCAGGAGCTCCAGGACATGTGTGCTCAGGAGAGGGATGTGAGCCCTCAGAAAGAACAGGGCATCCTCTTGACCAGCAAGCCACCTCCCCAGCCCTGGTCTTACTTTTAAAGGCCAGTACCCGCTGGCCTTTGTCAGGAGGGGGTCGTTATTTAATATGTTCTTCAATTCTCTTATTTTCAGTTATCTATGCCAGGGCCTTAAGAGAGGACTAAGCAGGTGAAAAGGCTGATGGGTCAACCTAGGCCCTGCATGCAGATAATAAAGATCTGGAGCTTGCCCAGCCCAGGAGCCAGCCAACAACAGCTCAGGACACTAACTCAGTGTCTGTTGTGCGGATCCCTCGGAAGGACCCCTCACTACCCCACTGTTCCCAAGTCTTATGTCCCTGAGCTCAATTCATGTTGTAGGCTTTCCCCGTCAGGGGTTGAATCTGTTCCCCTAAGTCAAGCAGAGGCTGACAGATGAGGGCACATGGGTTTGTTTTCAGATTATTCAAAAACCACAGAGATTGGTGTTGGCAAACTGCGTATCATCTATATGCATATGGTCTCTACAATTTCTGTCTATAAACTAGCAGTTTATAGATAGAAGTCTTGTGTCAGTTATATATAAACTATCAAAGGTAACATTTCCTAAACTTTGTACTAGAAAAAGACTTCAGTAAAATCATTTCATGTATCTTCAAAATAACAATTGCAGTAGGTTAAATGTCAAGAGGGGGCAAATTTCATTGTGTTCGAGGTGCAGCCTCCCCTTACCCAAGACCCCACGTGGCTGCCGGGAACCTTGGACAGTACCAAGTCTGGCGTGTACTCTGCTCTGCCTATACACCCCTTCCTATGACCATGCTTAACATAAATCAGGGACACTTAGGAACTGACAGTCACTGATAACACAGTTGTTAGTTACAAGAATTATTACTATACAGTATAGTGAAACTGCCAGCATCACGACCTGCCCTTTGGGGCCATTATTACATAAAATAAGGGATGCTTAGAAACAGGTACTAAGGAACGGTGACAGCTGGCATGATAGGTGAGGTGACTGCTGAGTGACTAAAGGCCAGTAATGTGAACAGTGTGGACACCATGGACAAAGGCTGCTTCACAATCTAGACAGGAGGGAGAACGCGGTTCAGAGAGACTCACAATTGAAAACATGTGTGTGCTGCTGTGTGTGGAGATTTTCCAATTCACATTTGTGGGCTGTGGGTGACCCCAAGTGACCAAGACCCCAGAGGTCCACTGCTAGGTCGACAGGTTTGCTGCTTAAACATCAGCTTCTGTTTTTGCCTCTTGCTAACTTGTCCTCCAGTGTGAGGTCTTGGCGTTTCTCTGACAATGCTCCAAGAGCAAAGAGACATTTTGTCATTACACAGTGACTCTACTGCACACTGCCACGTTAGAGTGGCAGAGCCTGGATGCTTCAGAAAGTATAGGTTGGGGCTTTTACTCCTCTATTTTAACTTACTTTTAACTTTTTTAACTTACTCAGAAGTTCCGAGGGCACGGCCAGGAGCTCCTGTCCCTTACGGGGGCCCAGTGAGGTGCTCATGCTGTTTATTCGCAGCATATTTTCTTGGCTTACACAGTGTGCATGACGTGTCCACTCAGCACACGGACTTACGAGTACACACCATCATCTCAGCGCGGAATCATCTGGTCTGGGGCAGCATCCTTTCTCTGAAGTTTTATGTACAACACTCCCTTGCTTTCACAGTTCTGTTTTTAAGACTCAGAGGGTCGACCCCAATGGAGCTGCCATGTTCACGGTGCATCTACTACTCCAGGAGGCCTGGGGCCTCTGCCCCACCCTCCTCCTGGTACGGAAGAGCCACCTTATCCCACTGTATCTCAACTGGGCTAATCCTGGAACGTACACAACACAACCTGGAGGGCGCAGAGATGGCACACAGCAGTGCACACTTCCTTATGGCATATTTCCAGGCCTTCGGGGGAAACAGGTGACCGATTAATGAACTTTTAGATATGATTACCAAAGAGAAATACTAGAGTCAAGGCAACACGAAGCTACCATTCTAGATCTTTCCATTCCGGGTATTATAGACAACTTCCCACAATCCACAGCCATTGCCATCTTCTCACTTTGACCCAGCTGGGCATGCCACAGGTGTCTGCGTGGACAGCCCCATTCATTGCCTCACCACAGCGGAAGTCTTCATGTACAAAAACCCTCTCAACTATCTGATGTTTCCAGAGACATCTTTGTATTTCCCGAACTGTCCAAGGGAAACTGACCTGCAGGTTGTCAACTCACTAATGTGAAGTCTGAAGAGCAGTGCAAAGGATTCACAGCCAGGTGTGGTGGCGTACACCTTTAACCCCAGCATTCTAGGAGGCAGAGGCAGGTGGGTCTCTGTGAGTTCAAGGCCAGCCTGGCCTACAGAGTGAGTTCCAGGACAATGAGCACTATGTAGAGAGACCCAGTCTCAAAAAACAAAGACAGAAAAGGACTCACAAAATGACAACAGAATGGGTCTTACCTTCAGAAAGGCTTTCTTTTCCAATGTGTTCATGATAAACGGAGGGATGGCTGTAAGAAAGACAGGCCACTTAAATCGTCACATAACGCCTGTTTCCAACTGTGTTTCCTCTAAGAAGCTGATAAAAAGCCATGTCCCTTTTAGGCTATTTCTACGTTGGCAGAGCGAAAGACTCCAACCAAAGCAAATGAAGGACTGAAGCTGAGTGGAAACTGGGGTGCAACACTGCTTTCAGGCAGTCTGGAAATCAGGGCTCAGATGTGTTGGGGGCTCCATAGCCTTCTCTTTGCAGTGACAAGCATGCTGGTTCCTAGGTACCTTCACAGATCACACTGGCCTCCAACCAGAGTATAGGCGGGTCCCTAGGGCCAATCAGATAATGCTGATCCCCCCAGTTAGCTGAAATGCAGCATGATCATTGCTGTCTCTCAGTATCTACTGGGGACTGGATCCAGGACTCCTGTGGTTACAAAGTACATGGATGCCCAGCCTTCAGAGTCGCTGTCATCTTTAGGTGAATTGTAGCTTATAATACGACATAAACAATGTGCAAACAGTTAGGCTCTGTTGTGGAGGGAATACCAAGAAGAAAGCCTGAACGTGTTTAATACACACGTCTTCCTTTTTGATGCTGGTTGCCTCTGGATGCCGAGCTGCGCGCACACAGCGTCAACTGCAGAATGAATGTTCCTTAGTTTTCCTTTATGCACCTTTCTTTAACTTTCATTGCTCATTCAAGCTAGCTCATAGCATCACGTGACAATTGGCAGCAGCAGCTGACAGACATGCTTCATTTGAGAGGACCTTGTAATAGCCAAGTGCTGTTTACACTCAGCTTAGGTGAAGAAATTCAAGAACATGAATTTCTGGGTTTCTTTCTTTGTTTTCCCTACAGAGAATGCTGTCACTCACAGGTCGTTTGATTTCTGAGTGTCTAAGAGCCTTCTCCAGGCGACCCCGAGCAGCCCGATGGGTAGACAGGAGATTCTCAAAGGGTCCTGATATGACACAGATGTGCTTTCTGCTCATGCTGACCCCACACTACATAAATAACAGAGTAGTTGCCTGATTTCCTAATAGCTGCCCTCAGCATTACCACAGTCCCATGTTCCAGAGGGAACTTCAGGAGAAAGTTCTTATCTCCATGGACTTAGAATCATCTTAAGATTTACAGTCCACGCCCTACTCCATTCACTGTCATTGCCTCTGCTGCATCACTCTGGTCCAACTAGCCATGGCTTGCTGCCCACGGTCCCGAAGAAGCCCTGAGCTGCACCCTTTCATCCAGTCTCACAGAGCACCCGTATCACACAGTTACTGTTTGTGGTGCTCTATTTCACAGACTAAAAGTCAGAGCCTGGGATGCCCAAGTAGCCGACTCCAGTCTTTGAGGCCCCTTTAAATCCTTTCTGCCTCTCCTCCTTTGCAGAATGCCCCCTTCAAAAGGAAGCTCCTGCCCCTCTGCTGATGCCCACTCTGGCTCAGATTCAGCCCTGCTAAGGAGCCCCTCCCATCCTTATCTCTACCCAGCCCTTGCCTGGCGGATGCTTCTTCCATTTCACATACAGGCTAAGCATCCCTAATCAACAAAACCTCTGCTCAGGGAGTCTGGAGAGGTGGCTCAGCAGTTAAGAGCACTGGCTGCTCTCCCAGAGGACCAGGGTTCAATTCCCAGCACCCACATGGCAGCTCACAACCATCTGCAATCCAGCTCAAAGTGATTTGACACCCTCATACAGACATAAATGCAGGAAATCACCAATGCAAATAAAATAAAAATAAATAAAACATAAAAAACCCACCTCAGCTCTGAAATGTTCTAAGATCAGAAACTTGTTGAGAACCAAACGATTTCCCAAGTGAAACTGTCACCTCTCTCAACTCACATGCGTTGAGCCAAGATGTATACCTACCATATGCAACATTTGTTGCATGTATGAAATCATTAGCAATATTGCATAAAATTACTTTTAGGCCACATGAACAAGATGTATGTGGATAGTAAATAAACTTCAAATTTAGCTTTCAGCCTCCTGAGAGTTAGCTCATTTTATATTTAAGTAAATGTTCTAAAATCCAAACAAGTCCTAAACCTGGACCACTTCTGAAAGTCCCCAAGCATTATGGTAAAGGATGTCCATTTGTAGCACGTAGTATCCACTTGTTCAGCCGCAGGCTCCGCCATCAGAAGGTAGTTTTCACAAAGGGGAGTACTGTGTACCGTTTTGTTTACTGATACATAAAAGCTTGGCAGGACCTCCAAGCTCACTCACCCATGCCGGGGGCTGCCATGAGGATCCTGGAGATGACCACCTGTGTGATGGCTTGCTTTGCAGCATTGGTTGACTCTCCCAAGCGGGTGCCATTTTCATCAGTGACAGGAATGCCGACTTTGAGTTCCCTGAAGGGCAGAACACACGCAGAGGGGTTCACAGATCGCTCCAGGCAGCATCCTGAAGGAGGACTCTGTTGAGAAAGATCAAGTGCCTCCTTCATCCAGTTTCCCACTCAAGTGTCACTTTTGGCACTGATAAGTCTATTTTTAAATGCCATGAACAGGTTCAAGCCTCCTGTGACAGACAAGGGAAAATAGCAGAGGGCTCTTTCTTCAGAAGGATGTACTTTCCATAATGGTATGATTTGAGGGGTGGATAGGCGAGCTTAAGGGTGAGGTTAATTTATGGGCTCATGTACAAACCTGAACAACCTTCTAGATCAAAGACAGATACAGTACATAGCGTTATTGAGTATCACACGTATCGACAGCCATCACAACATAGCCTTGCTGGACATTCGTTAGCTACACACGATTCCTAACACTGGGAGCCCAACCTCTGCTACTGCCCTGTTCTTTTGTTATCCGTCCAAGGTGCTGATTCTTTCTTCTCCTTTAAGAGAGCTTTAAGAAATATTTTTAAAGTAAATAGTAAAATCATCTTAAGCCCCATAAGAAAATTCCAAGGGGAAAACCAAGAAACTCCTTGGCTTTCTCCATCTCTGGTCTCAATCGTACCGATTTTTCTTCTGTGCAGATGGTGCAGGCCAGAGGCACACCTTTGAAGCAGGAAGACTATGCATTCTAAGCTGTAGGAACCCGACGGGCTTGCCCTTACCACCCCACTCCACTCCACAGTATGTTGAAGCAAATCTCAGACTTCACATAATTTCATCTACACCATGAGAAACTCCCCTATCAAGCACAAGTCCCCACCCAGTGTACGTGCTCATCTTACCTTTGCCTCATTAGCGGGATATTAATGCAGTTAGCAGCAGCTACCGCAGCAAAGGGGACAAATCGTCCTATCAGTGGTGAGACACGCTGTAGAAAAGATAATTCCACAAGAAGCATCATCTTGTATTTCCCGGACGGCTGAACAGAAATTCTTAAGTTCTCCTAAAATACCGCCACCCCTGCCGCATAGAGCCAGGCGCAGGGACCTCAAACTTGTTGCTTAGAGGTATTTCTAAATCTCTGGCAACGACATGCTGAGACAATGCACCATCTAGGACACTTTGATAGCTTAGTTCGCGTGGCTGGAAGCAGGTCCCATGTCCCAGAGCTCTGATTTCAGGGCCAGCTCTTCTACCTCTTCAGGTCTCCCCCTCCCCAAGTCTCAGGAGGGTCTTCAGAGAGAGGCATTTAGAACTTAATGCATAGAGCCAGGAGGAGACCAGTCTTGGCTGACGCTATTAGGTACAACCCTTCCCCAACCCACTAGAAGGTAAAATTAAAATACGCAGCTGAAGATGACCGCAAGAAAGCCAAGCGGCTGAAGCTCTTTCGAGAAGTAACAGAGGCGCCCAGAGTGACGGGTGAGAACAAGTTATGATGCTCTGCCGTGGAAATAAACGAATTACCTTGGTTAAGGCATTGAGCCCCAGGGCTGTCGCCACGGCACCGGTTGTTGCAGAGACATAAGCCGTACCCAGCTCACTGCAAACAATAAGGACACCATGTAAATGATGGATGTACGCCAGGGATCACGAACACAGGGTCTGAAGAAACCGAGGAGGCAGAAGTGTAGAGTCTGCAGGGCAGACAGCAATGGGGAGTCTGCAGGGCAGCTCGGGGGCCACTACATCAGTGTGGGAATCCAGAGGGAAGGCAAACACATCCCTAAGAACAGGTGACAACTCCAGACAGACAGGCACGCAGGAGGGGTGAGTGTGTAGAAAGCTCAGACAGAGGAAAGCTTGGGACTAAGTGTTTGGGGCACATTTGCACAAGTCAGAACGGTCACTCCAAATGTTAGCGTGCACACAGGGAGCTAAGTGCAGCAGGACCATCTTAGAGGTTATTTCACTGTAAAAACAGTCCAGCTGAGCCGGAAGACATTCTGCTAAATGTGAGAAACACCACTGGGGGGGTGCGGGGTGGTTTTGCCGTCCTGTGCTCCATTTGATGACAGCAGACTACTGGGCATCAAAGGCCATTTTTAAAGATAAACAGGAAAACGACTTCTGCTCAAGTGTTGCACAAATTATATCTATAATCTTAGTTAATCTCAGCTTGGCAAATGTACATATACACACACACATATATACATTATATATATTTAAACACACATATACAATATATATGCAATGTACACACACACACATTCTAAAACAGGGGACAAACTCGTAAGTTCGTTGCTTTTTTTGGATTCCAGCAATGAGGTGCTTTTATAGTAAAGTGACTACAAGGGCCACACCACCTCGAAGCCCCTTCTGCTTTGAGGCTGGTGGCTTTGACTCACGTAGCTCCAAGGGGAGCGGAGGAGGGCCTGAGGGCTGCCTGGCAGGCACTCTGCAGCACCTCCCCTCCCAGGGATGTAAGAGAGACAGCACCATCCCACTAGTAGCCCAGACGACATCAAGAGAAGGCAAGACAAAAGCAGAAAGTTACCGGACACACAGGGAGGAGAGGCTGCACAGAGCCAGCCATGTGTTTAAATGCACTGCTACTTAAGGAAGGAGCACAGGCTCATGGAGAGAAGGTCAGCCCCACAGCCTTACTTTACAGTGAGGGAGAGAAGGTCAGCCCCGCAGCCTTACTTTACAGTGAGGGGCGCGTCTCCACTTCTGTTGGTGTAGTTGACCACGGCATTGAAGGACTGGTTTATCCACTGCCAGAAAAGCACAGCTGGTGTGGTCCTGAAACAGAGGAAGCTGTCACATTCCCTCTGGCGGTGGCGGCGCACGCCTGCCTTTAATCCCAGCACTCGGGAGCCAGAGGCAGGTCCCAAGGAAGGGTACTAGGCAGGAGGAAGCCCGGGCTGCAGATGTGGGACCTCTGAAGCCACAGACTGTCTACTTTGTCAACTCCCTTATCACCGAGCTCACAGGGTTTGTCTTTGGGTTTCTGTTGCAGTGATAAACATCACGACTAAAATCAACTTAGAGAGGAAAGAAGTTATTTGGCTTCATTTCCATATCACGGCAGGAACCTCACACAGAGGCCATGGAGGGAGCTGCTAACCGCCTGCTTCTCTCGGCTAGCTCAGCTGCTTTCTGATAAACCCAGGACCACCAGTCCAGGGATGGCCCCACCCACCATGGGCTGGGTCCTCCCCCATCAATCATTGATCAAGAAAATGCCTGGTAGTCTTGCCTACAGCCAGTTTTATGATGGAAAGTCTCCCTTTCCAAATGACTCTAGCTTGTGGTCAAGCTGGAAGAAAACTAGCCAGGACAGCTTCTGTCAAGAAGAAGTAAATTTATAAAAAGCCCAGCACAGAGTAGACTGAGAAGATTCCTTTTCTTGGGCAAACAAAACAAATCTGCAAGTGACGCAGGCTTGGCCCTTCTTAGGTCACGTCTACGTCTATTCAGACGCCCAAACACATCTGCGTCTACAGAAGAGTAGAAGAACTTGTTCCTAGACTCTTTTTTCTCTATCTCATTTTCTTTAGGGGAAATGTCAACTTCTTTGTAAACACAGACATTATTTAATATCCTTGAGAAAGATTTATTTTTATCTTATGTGTATGAGTGCTTTGTCTCCATATGTGTATTTGTTCTGTGTGTGTACAGTGTCTGCAGAAGGTGCTGGATTCCCTGGAACTGAGTTACAGACAGCTGTGAGCAGCACGTGGTGCTGGGAACTGAACCGGGTCCTCTGCAAGAGCAGAACTGAGTTACAGACAGCTGTGAGCAGCACGTGGTGCTGGGAACTGAACCGGGTCCTCTGCAAGAGCAGTCAGCGAGCGCTCTTAACCACTGAGCGCCTCTGCGGTCCACGATTTACCATCGCCAGAGGCAAAACACACCTCTAAATACAGTGGATGTGGTTTATCTACTTATGTATTATTACTACTTTATTTGTTTGCTTTGTTTTGTCTGCCCAGAATGACCTCAAACGCACAGCCTCCAAGTGCCTTCGTCTCCCGTATGCTAGGATTCCAGGCATAAGCCCCCACTCCCAGCTGAAACGGGAAGTTTATTTTCATGAATCATGCCAGATGCTGCTTAACAGAGGGGCAGCGTCTACTCAGAGTGGACTAGAGGTGAAATGACACCTTTCTTAATGTTAAAGCAGCAGCACCTCACTTTAATTACGTCAGTTGTTGTCACCGTAGATCGGGACGGGTGTTAGCTGCATAGCCAGGCTGGCCTCACGCCCACGACCCTCTTAGGCTCCCAAGCGCCGTGGTTACACAGGTGAGACACTACACCACCTCCGTCTTATTTTCAGCTGTTGTAATTCCAGTTTCAATTCACATCCGTATTTATTGTGTACGCATGTTCAATGCATGCGAAGGTCAGAGGGTGACCTGCAATAATTGGGCTCTCTATCCACTGGGTGCTTCCCGAATCCAACTGTGTGTTCAGGTTTGGCGGGCGGCAAGTGTCTTTACTCAATGAGTCATCTCTCCAGCCCTACATTTATTACTATTATTATTATTATTATATTTATGGGGGGTCCAACACGTTTTGGCACATTGTAGAATGAATGGATCATTCTTGTCAACAAAATCACTGTGACATTTGCTTCAGTAGAATTCATATTAAAATATTCTCCAAATCATCTCAATAGCAAAGTAAGTAAGCGCTCCCAGGCATCTGTGACTCACCTGTAAAATGTCATCATGCAGCCCGTGATGGTCATGTTCATGGGAACCTGAGCCGACATCCTCCCTATCAAGATCATCTTCTCACCCGTGTCGGGATGGAAAGCCGAGTCACACACATACTTCGCTCTCCACAACTCATTTTCCGTGAGGCCGGCAGGGACGATTCCTTGTCTTGAAAATGACAACAGAAGCTCCTTTCAGACGTCTGCCATGAACTTCACAGCTTGGGAAGCCTCACTGCGCCTACAGGGTCTGGCAGGTCTGTTAGAGCGCTGGTGGTAATAATTATTTTTAAATGATTCATGTGTTTTGGGTGCTGGGGGCCGAACCCAAGGCCTCACACACACAGCTTGGGCTCTAATCACTGGTCTGCCTGGCAGCCTAAAGCATAAGAATAAAAATGTGGTTACAGTGAATTTCAGACCCACACACCTCAATTATCTGCAATTTGGAAAATGACAGAAAGTGATATGCATATTAGAGTATTCAACTTGAAAATATTAATTGTTTTAAGTGACATATTAAAACTGTAGTCTGAACTTGGCAAACTCTGATCAACTATTTTTAACCAACCGGACCAAAGTTATGGTACTCAAGGCTGCTACTTCGTTTTAAACCTGCAGTTGGCAAACTTAGTTGGGGAGCCCTTTGGTGCAAATAAAGGTGTTGGTGTACAATTTGTCTGATTTTCTCATCAATTAAGTACCCATTGGCAGAGATTTCAAAACCATGTAAATTTAGTGGAGCAATGAAGGTATCCCAGGCCTATCTGCTGTTGCCACTGGCAACACTTGGGTGAATACTTCTTCAACTTTCCAAGGTATTTAAGGTATGACCCCAAACCAGAGGCTCCCTAACCATGTTTTTTTTTTAAAGATTTATTTATTATGTATACAGCATTCTCCTTGCATATATGCCTGCAGGCCAGACAGGGTACCAGATCTCATTATAGATGATTGTGAGCCACCATGTGGTTGCTGGGAATTGAACTCAGGACCTCTGGAAGAGCAGTTAGTGCTCTTAACCTCTGAGCCATCTCTCCAGCCCCTAACCATGGTTTTTATTCAACAATACTTTGTCAATATTTTTTGCTTGTTTATATAATGTTCTTCTAAACTATCTACATTGGGTTGAATAGTAATTCCTAAATGCATGTCCACATAGAAGAACGGGGTTGTGGCTTTACAGATGTAATTAGCCAAAGTGAAGTCCTGTTGAATGAATAGTCACTAAATCCAAGGATGTCCCTACAAGTTAGGGGATGGCAAAAATTCCCAGAGCCACCAGCACCCAGGAAGAGGCAAGGGGGATCCTCCCTGAGAGCCTTCAGAGGGAGTGTGACCCTTCTGTGCTGTGACTTAGACTTCTAGCCTCCACACAGGGAAGAGGGCAGCACACCATCCTCTAAACACTGTACAGATTATTCCCCAAAGTGAGTTTTAATTGGGATTTTAATTAATTCTTCCACTTTTTCAATTTGTAAATGGGAGATTAAGCCTTCACAATTAGAACTCTTCCCCACAGCCAAGATTATTTAGAAATAAACGATTAGATTTGCTAAAGCGACAGTCAAGTAAAATATAAAATGTTTTTATGACTTTTATCCTTTGTACTTGAGTCTGAGTTAGCAGGATCTGGAGGAAACCCCGAGAGGATGTATATGACAAAGACCAAAGTAATCGTCAAAGCTGGATCCCCATATGGGCCAGGCTCAAGAGGGATGGCAAAGGATGGGTTCCAGTGTGAATGATCAGTGTGTGCAAAGACTAGCAACTGCGGCTTCTCCTCCAGGATGTTTAGAGCCTCAGAGTGCTCATCAACAGTGGCCCCTACCGTGCACAGTCAGCCCCTCCTCAGGGCTATACCCAATAAACACCCAAGGTGCTGGGTGGCCTGGTGGTGCTCTCCATCACAGCCCACATCAGCATCTGATCCCAGCTTCCCTGTATCTGTGTCTGTCCTTCCTTCCTTCCTCCTCTGCCCCTAGTTAGGGTTTCAGAAACCAGGCTGCAGGTTGTGGCTGCAAAACTATGTCTTTTGCCCTTTGCTTTTGAATCTGACTTTGTCTTAAAAAGCAGCAGGAATTCATCATAAGGTATGCTGTCTTAGTTAGGGTTTCTACTGCTGTGTCGAAACACCAGGGCCAAAAAGCAAGTTGGGGAAGAAAGGGTTTATTTGACTTACAGTTCAACATCGAAGTCCATCACTGAAAGTCAGGACAGGAACTCAAGCAGGACAGAAACCTGGAGGCAGGAGCTGATGCAGAGGCCATGGAGGATGCTGCTTACTGGCTTGCTCCCCATGGCTTGCTCAGCCTGCTTCTGATAGAACCCAGGACCACTAGTTCAGGGATGGCACCACCCACAATATGCGGGGCCCTCCCCTATCAATCACTAATTGAGAAAATGATTTATAGCTGGATCTCATGGAGACATTTTCTCAACTGAGGCTCCTTCCTCTCTGATGACCCTAACTTGCATCAGGTTGACACAAAACCAACCAATACAGTATGAAAATGTGAAATTTGCTGAGCTGTACCTCCTGTTGGCTGGTTTCCATCAGCTGAGGTGTGAGGAGCATCGGGCTTGGTTTTTTGGACTCTCCTGTCCCTGCTTAACTGCAGAGTGAGGACCACGCTCACCACTTTAATGACAGTCCTTCTTAACTGTTGGTGGAATAAGTGTTATCTCTCTACTCTTCTCATGCCTTAGTTACAGTCACTATTCTTCCAGGAAAACCTTACAGCTATTTTCTAGGTCTTACAGGTGATCACAGCTGTACTAATGGAAACTGTTATTAGGAGAGAAGTGTTCGCTGCCACAGTACCAAGACTTCCTTTGTAGCAGGACAGCTACAACTGTAACTGTCATATACTTCTGAGTAAGAGTGTTCCCTGTCCCCTTCCCCCCACCACTTAAAAGCTAAAACTATGTAGCAGTGTCTGTGTGTGGGTTGTGCACATGAGTGCAGGTACCTGCAGAGGCTAAGGGTGTTGGGTCCCCAAAAGCTGGAGTTAGCAGGTATTTATGAGCTGCCCAACGCGGATGCTGAGTACTGAACTTCAGTCTTCTGCAAGGGCAATGTGCATTCTAGCCTCTGAGCCATCTCCCCTGCCCATATTTTGTATCTTGACGTGTCCTGACGCATGCATGAGAACTGCTGTCACCGTGCACGTGGACACTTTATGTGGATTAAAAGCAGACCCTCTCATCATATTCATTTGTTAGAGGTTTCAAGTTGATTAGGGTATTGGCAGTTGCAAAATGCAATTGCTCCACCTTTTTAATATCTCTATGCTTAGTTTCAAAGTGTTTCTGAACAGTGAAGATTAAGGCGCCCTGGACTCGCTCTTCCCCTCGATGCCATGGGGTGCACACTTTCCTGAATTAGGCCTTAACAGAGGTCACAGGGAGAAAGGAAGGTCTGTGTTTAAGTTTGGGAAAATGGGTTAAAGAGTCCTACAACCCCAATGCCTAAATAGTTTGGAAACTGAAAGCAGCGGTGAATGTGGAAGACTGACTGTCCCCGCATAGGTGGCATCTTCTCTCGGCTGACAGAGTACATCTCATATTAACAACCCTGAACTCCCTCAGAATCCATACCCGCCCCCATCTGAGTACTCATCTAGAAAGTCTCCCTCACCGGGACTGTCTCTCAGCAGCTATGGCCCTACCCCCAGTTCTCTGGGGCCAGTTTCTAGAACACTGTTGTTTCTACGCAAAGGCAGAAAGGTGCCTGGGACAGCAGCGTTAGAGCAAAGGCACAGGATGTCGGGGAGGGGAGAAGACTCACAGACAGGTCGCCAAGCTACGGTCGACCCTGGCTATCTGCGCCAAGGGTCAGCTCTGGGGATCTACCTCGTCTCCCTATTTAGTCATTTATTTTGGCAAGCAGTCGTTTACTGCAAAATCACGACGCACTTTAGAAACAACACGGTGGTCCATCAACGGCAGGCCAGAAAACACAACATCCGCATTACCTGTAGTCGTGCACCACTTTCCTGGCGTTCTCCAGTTGCTCGTTTGTTAGGAGGATGTTCCTAGGGTCCGTGACAGTGAAGAAGTGATTGGCTCGGCCAACAAAAGTGCTTTGGTCCCATCGAGGCTCCTTGATGTTAATGTTGGGTGGCACTTCCCCAGACATTGTCCCGGATCCTGAAAAGGGAAAGACTAGTTAAGTGAGGCGATACTGTTACTGCAAGCAAGGTATTTGGCGGTCACACTCAACCTGTGTGGAAAGATGGCTCGGTGGGTAAAAGCTTTGGTACACTAGCATGGTTACCTGCGCTCGATTCCTGGAACGTATGTCAAAGGTAGGAGACTCGACCCCACAAACCTGTCCTCTGACGTTCACACAGTGCCACTGCATGTGCTTACCAGCCCCCCCTCCCCACATATCACACGCGCGCGCGCGCGCGCACACACACACACACACACGCTGTAAAAAACCACACAAAAATATGTCACGATATTTAAGCAAGTTTTGATTTTGTGTTCAGTCACATTCATAGCTATTGTGGGGTTCATGCAGCCCCCAAGCTGCAAGGTTGGCCCCTTAAACCAAAGCGAGCTGTTCATGAACCTCAATGCATCTCAACCACATTTCAAGAATTTGCCACATCTCTCTTGTCCCTTTTCAACAGGAAAGCCAAAATTATTCTACATAAGATAGAGACGCAAAGTTTTAAAACAACACGGACTGGCGGGATGGCACACTCAGTAAACTGCCTGCCACACAGCATGAGGACCCAAGTTTAGATCCCTTGGGCTCACTGCCAGTCTGTTTAGCCAAACCTGTTAGGTCCAGATCAGAAAGGGATCAAAAAATGGGAGAGTGATAGAGGAAGCCACCTGATGTCAGACCCGTCTCCATCTGCATGCGCCTTTGAGCAAAGCAGTAAATGTCAACGTTGCTGTGCTCTGGCCTAACAAATGTCATCCCTAATGGAAGTACCTGGCGATGCATGAGATTATAAATCTAAAAATAATGATAACAAATGCTAGTGATTATAGAACTGAAACAAGAAGACAGATTCTTTCAGCCTGTTCAGCACATAAACCACTAATCAAAAATTAAAAGTCATCTTCTTCAATCTGCCGGAAGCATGGAGACAAACAATGTGGTCTGACAGCCACAGAGCAAGAATGGCGCTTTCGCCTTCCTCCAGGGAATGCCTGCTTTCTGGCTCCCGGCCACTGCTTTACCCAGTGTTTGGTCACCTGTTTCTGAGTTACACTCCGACTTCAGAACGGCACTGTTGCTAACGGTATGCTGAAAACCACAAGCTTATTATGCAGATAACAAAGAAATAACATTTCTACAACCCAGCCTTCAGACAATTCCTTTGCTGAATACCTTTGCAAGCATAAAAATAATTTTATAGGCTTTTAAAGTTTATTTATTTTAGAACTTCATACATGAATATATCCATTCTTCCATAGTCTCTCCTGAGGCCCCCTCTAAAGTTTATGAGCTGTTCTTCTACAGTTATATGTATATATAATATGTTACATATAAACACACTGAGTCCAATCACTGTTACCCTATGCACATGGGTGTAGTGTTAACCACTTGGGCACGGACAACCTATCATAGCGTTCACCCTGAAGAAAACTGATTCCTCCTTCAGCAGCTGATGGGCATGCTCAGCGGGTCCATGCCCACCACCACCCACAGGCTCTTACAATCTTCCCACCCTGTTCCTGGATGTTCACTTACACTTACTTCACGAAATCCCTCCAGTGGCATCAGATGTCCATTCTGGACCCATAATAAACAACCCTTTAGGGCTGTTCTGCTTTAGTTCTCAATATTACCCATAACACCACGCCCTGTCTGGGGCTCTCTTCTCTGGTGATTTTCTTGGATGGAATCTCTGGAGTTGGTGAATCACCACAGAGGCTTCACATAATTACTTTTCTTACACCTGTTTCTTTTTCTTCCATTTCTAACATCAGTTCTAACCACAGCTTTCCTTATTAGTGTTACACAAATTCTTAGAACCATTTAAGACATCAGATGTAAATGCCAGGCCACCCTGTAACTTGTTGTCTGTCAAAACCCCCCAAATAACGTATCACTGATCACTGGATCAAAACTGAATATGACAGACAGTCAGGCACCCGAGCCTGAAGCGCTTGGGCAGTGGAAGTGAGAGTAAAATCTAGCTATTGATAAAAATGGCTGCGACAGCAGGCCCGGACACAGGAGGTGCAAAGCCAACACTTTCCTCCCAGCTACAAGTGCCAACAGCTCCACGTCTGGGCGACCCTGCTTCCTGGTTCACCGGCTTGCTTTGCATAATCACAGATGCTCAGAAACTTGGCTCTTCGGAAAACAAGAATAAAGAGCCCCTCCTCCTCTCTGGCACAGGGGTCACTGAGCTCCCAGGCCAGCACAGGGCTTCATATTAGAGACATCCTGGACTCAGCATCCTAAAGTCCTTCTGTGGTTTCCAAGGAAACAGGGGCACAAGTTCACTTCACAGTGCAAACTTCTTTCCCCAGCCATGGTTTGTGCCCAACATAATGCTGCAGTATCAAGCTCCCACTGTTCTCTGTAATGCTATGGCAGCCATCATTTTCCTGCTTGCCTAGCAGACCCCACACAACTCCCCTGGTTGTGATCTCCCTTACCACCGCAAGCCAGGAAGTACACCTCCATTGGGCAGTAGCTCTGTACCTGCTGGCCTTTGCCTGGCAAGGTTATAATACAGAACAGGCCCAAAGTATAAATTAGAACAAATATACTACTGTGCATGTTAAATCCAGGGACAGAGACATAATGCATAATCCCCCCTTATCTGAGGAGGTACACGTCTCCACAGTGGATATCTGAAACCACAATAATATGGACTCATATATAAAATGCTTTTCCTATACATATATACTTCAAATAAGGTTAATATTAAATTAACAAAATTACTAAATTAAAAAAGTTAATACTGCCTAACAGTGGAACAATATGCATGACAATAAGCTGTATGAATGTGTTCTCTCTCAAATTATTTGTTTTTGAAATATTCCATTCAATATTTTTAGGCCACAGTCAATCATGAATCACTAACAGATAAACAGACTGGTGGACATCAAAGGCTGTGTGGAAGCATGGATTATTTATGTAACCCACAAACAAAGGCTCCAGTTTTAGGTAGGGAAGCTTCCAGACTCACCCGCAGAGATCAGCCAAGGGATGTCAGCAACTACTGTAATGGAGGGAGTCAGGAACATAGGTGCCGGGCCCCAAAGCCTGTCTGATGGCACGTCAAGCCCGTCTGACCTGCCCTCAGTGTCAGTGTGTGGGGATGATGGCTTAAGGGATCTCTACTGCTTAGACAAACAATAACAATAATAAAGCTGATAACTGGCATAGAGATGACAAGCTGAAGACGGAAGGGATGGCTCACTAAGCCCAGACACTCTCAAAAGCAAAGATGGTGCATCACATCAAAGGCTCCCCTGCTCAGTTTACTCCTACAAAGGTACCAGCAAAGACAGACGCTCGAAACCACCAGGCCTCTCCCAACCCACAGAGGAAGGGAGGAAGCAGGGCAGCTTCGCCTGCACAGTGACTTTCATACTCCAGGTTCAACTGTCAAACCTCAGAACCCACAAAGCCCCATGGATGGCCTTGTCCTTCTGGGCAGCATGGCTTCCTAAGATGTGTACAGCCTGGTCTACAGGAGCTGACAAATGCTGCATCCATGGGGCTTTGCTGAGGATGTCAGCCCTGACCAGGAGGAGAGGAGATGACTTGATTACCTGAGGAGGTCCAGATCACAATAGGAGCCAGATAAATGGACGCAGTTACAAGCTGGATGCGAAGGGAGGCTGGAAAGGCCAAGGGCTCTTCCCAGGGCCTCCGGGGGAAGGCTGACCCAGTCAGCCTGCTGTGACCTCCAGCACACTAGGAATAAATTAAGTTGTACTAAGCGTGTGGTTTGCTAGTGTGGCAAAGGGAACAAAAAGGGCCCCATTCCCTTGCCCTGAGTTCAAGTAGCTCTCTCCTGGCACAGACTGGACGCAGTAACCCCTGCTTCCCTCTCCCAGGAGAAGAAAGGCCACCAGACTGCTCAGCAATGCCACATCAGTGTCGAGCCAGATACAGTGTAATTATTTGCTACTATCAATTACACAAGCTTCCTTTTAAGTAGTGTTCCCACCTCCAAGCACAGCTTTTGCTTTCTCCACTTCCATTTTCTCCAGGAGTTGGTTGGTTTTCCTAACCAGGCTTCCTGCCTCTTCCCCCACCCCCACCTGGACTCCCAGGTTCACCCGGGTCATTCATAGGCAGGAACAGGAGCCGCTCTTGTACTTGGTACCCAGGAGCAATGTGTATCAGATTGAGGCGGGGAGGAGGAAGCAAAGCTGAGATGCTGCCTGGGCCAGCTTCACTCTGGGTGGAGAGTGGGCTAAGGAAGGGGGGTGCTGCGTGGGACTGTGGGCACACCTCCTTCCTCCTGCCCATTTGGTCAGACCATAGCGGCGTGAACAACCGGATGGTGGCACAGGGTACCTGGGCTTGTGGCCTGAGTGACGTATGGAGATGGACTGCAGAGGTATCCATCTTGCATGCTAGATCCTGACTGGCCATCCTGACTGGGAGTGCCACGCGCACATCTTTGAGAAGTGCGGTTGTTGTGGGGAGCAGGATTTGGGGTGGGGTGGGTGAGGTAGCAGGATCGACTTGGATTCCTGAACGCTGGGCTAGCATGCGGAGAGCAGCCGTCTAACAGTCATAGACTTGTCCTGAAGGTTGAGATTGGGCAAAGTTCAAACCACTTTTTAGAGAAGTATTCTTGAGCCAGGAAACAAGAGGTTCCTGATGATCAATGGTACTGGTTCTCCAACAGATGAGTCAGCTGGGAGGGGCCGCTGCCTGCCTGCAGTGGCAGACCTGTTGCTCAGCCTCAGGCTGATACTGGAGATAGCGTGGATGGTCAGGTAGCCACAGACAGTTCAAGATCTTGGAGGGGATACACACTCTCCAAACTGCAGGTGGAGGCAGAGATAATGTAAAATCCATACCTCAAAAGAACAGACTGTATACAATACCAGAGAATGTTCAAGAACAGCTGTGATATATCCTGAAGGTAAGGTAAGGGTGCCCCAGAGACAGGAGACAATGGACTGGGAGGACAGTCTCTTTGCCACAT